ACAATGAAAATGCTTCTATTTTATTTATTTATTTAAAAACTTTATGCACAATAACGTACAATGGCGGACTTAACACCATTAGGTGTTCTCTACCAGTCAACCGACAAATAAGCAGAGAGAATAAGGAGGTGCGAAAGAGCCAGATGAGATAGTAAAGAATATGATAATATATAAAATATTACATACATATTACATAAATATACACATATACTAGTATATATAGCTATTACATATATATATATATATATATATATATATATATATATATATATATATATATACATACACATATATACATATATATATAATACAAATATATATATATATATATATATATATATATATATATATATATATATATATATATATATATATATATATATATATATATATATATATATATATATATATATATATATATATATATATATATATATATATATATATATATATATATATATATATATATATATATATATATATATATATATATATATATATATATATATATATATATATATATATATATATATATATATATATATATATATATATATATATATATATATATATATATATATATATATATATATATATATATATATATATATATATATATATATATATATATATATATATATATATATATATATATATATATATATATATATATATATATATATATATATATATATATATATATATATATATATATATATATATATATATATATATATATATATATATATATATATATATATATATATATATATATATATATATATATATATATATATATATATATATATATATATATATATATATATATATATATATATATATATATATATATATATATATATATATATATATATATATATATATATATATATATATATATATATATATATATATATATATATATATATATATATATATATATATATATATATATATATATATATATATATATATATATATATATATATATATATATATATATATATATATATATATATATATATATATATATATATATATATATATATATATATATATATATATATATATATATATATATATATATATATATATATATATATATATATATATATATATATATATATATATATATATATATATATATATATATATATATATATATATATATATATATATATATATATATATATATATATATATATATATATATATATATATATATATATATATATATATATATATATATATATATATATATATATATATATATATATATATATATATATATATATATATATATATATATATATATATATATATATATATATATATATATATATATATATATATATATATATATATATATATATATATATATATATATATATATATATATATATATATATATATATATATATATATATATATATATATATATATATATATATATATATATATATATATATATATATATATATATATATATATATATATATATATATATATATATATATATATATATATATATATATATATATATATATATATATATATATATATATATATATATATATATATATATATATATATATATATATATATATATATATATATATATATATATATATATATATATATATATATATATATATATATATATATATATATATATATATATATATATATATATATATATATATATATATATATATATATATATATATATATATATATATATATATATATATATATATATATATATATATATATATATATATATATATATATATATATATATATATATATATATATATATATATATATATATATATATATATATATATATATATATATATATATATATATATATATATATATATATATATATATATATATATATATATATATATATATATATATATATATATATATATATATATATATATATATATATATATATATATATATATATATATATATATATATATATATATATATATATATATATATATATATATATATATATATATATATATATATATATATATATATATATATATATATATATATATATATATATATATATATATATATATATATATATATATATATATATATATATATATATATATATATATATATATATATATATATATATATATATATATATATATATATATATATATATATATATATATATATATATATATATATATATATATATATATTTATATATATATATATATATATATATATATATATATATATATATATATATATATATATATATATATATATATATATATATATATGTCTTTAGATTCCGATCCCAGTCTATGAGCTGACAACAGTGAGGATGATGTGACATCCTTGAAGCCAAGATTCTTATTGAGGATGGATAGAATCACATGAGGGACATCTTCATTGGGTTTTTCTGGGACCCCACCAAGAAGAAGATATTTTTTCCTGTGTCGCATCTCTATGCTATCTGTTGCCATCTGCACCTCATTGATGAGAAGCTGTAGCATTGAAAACATATCTTGTACATAACTACGAAATGCATAGAACTCATCTGCCAGATTCAGTGATTCTGTAATTTTAGGAGCAGAAAGCTGTGCTTCAAGTTTGTTCATTTTCTTCATGATGGTGGTTTCCATGTTCTTCTGTGTAGCTTTTATAAGTTCTAAGTTGGACATAGTAATCAAAGTGTATATCAAACTTTAGTAGTATGATTGACAGTTGCACTTTTGAGAAGTCACTAGAAGTCATTGCACTTTTGAAGTGGTGCCCACAACTGATATGTAAGTATGATTATTAAAGTTAAGATTTTACTGTACAAAAAGTGTTAAAATACTTTAGAATAAATTATTTGCCAAAGTTTTCGCAAGAGCACACACGGTCTTTTTAATGCCTACCCCCGAAAAAAAAATCGCTATTATTATTCTATTGCTAAAGTCGGGTACATGATACACTTAGCATCATCTGAAAAATTGTAAGCATACTCTATTAACCTAATGCCAATTTATTTTATTTTTTATGCATATTATATAACTAGCTGCTGCCCACGACTACGTCTGCTTAGAATATATTGGCGTAACATTCAGACAGAAAGGCGGATATACATAAAATATGTATATAAATTATAGCCTATGTCTTATTCTGATGTATGAGCTATATTATTGTAAAGTTTCATTAAAATTCATTCAGCAGTATTTGCGTTAAAGAGTAACAAATATCCATCCATACGTAAAAATTTTCGCGTTTATAATATTAGTAAGGATGAAAATACTGAAATCTGACTGATGCTGCATATTATTAGAAAAGTCACGTTAATGTAAGAAATAAACAAGCCACGGAACTTTTTAATAAATCATTATTACTATCTCAACGAATTAGTAGTATAATAACTTAATAGTATCTCTTATCCTAATCGATAGGAAGTATCGTCCTCGAAGGCACATAGTATAATGAATGACTAAAATTCAGATAGAGCTTATGTCAAGAGCCAAACAATTAACAATTCACCGAACATTTTTAAAAAAACAAAGGGCTGTTAATTGGGTCAATTTGGAACTTATCTCACGTCATAATGGGTATGGACTTATCCTCGGTGCGGGAATGTAGAAACTTCTCGAACCCTCAGTCCCGGACAATTCGCATTAGGACTTTTTAATTCCCAACGCGGTTTCTGCTCTGGCGGCTACAAACCGCCCCAGTACTTAAAAGCTCTTTGCAGCTGGAGCTAAGAGTGGCCATTTTAATTTTTAACGAGGCTGACAGCTCGAATGGAATTTAAATTCTTTTTAATCACCTTACTTCACTTTATCTCTTCCCCAGTTGAATAAGGCTCGGTTTGCACTGAGATAACCATATCTTTATAATATTACTAGCGACCCGCCCCAGCTTCACACTGGTGCAATGCTGAATGTTTGTTTTCGACATCGCATTAGAAACCTCTAAAATTATCAGTGTTTCTGTATTATATTATGCATGAATTATACATTTAAACCTTCCTCATAATTAACTGTATCTATTAAAGAAATCCGTTTCGTATTTTTAAAGATCTTAGCATATATAGGAACAGACAGACAGCGGAACGACTTTGTTTTATACTATGTAGTGACGTAGTGTCTGGGACAGTCATGCCGTCTTCTCTTCTTGGTGTGAATTGAGCCGTACCATTAGAATACTTGAACGCGTAGTCGGTGCGAAAACAAGAGTAAATAAAAAAAGAAAGTAAGATTGTTTTGGAGACAGAAAGTCTCTGGACCAGTCCTCAATAATTAGAATATTATCTCAATAATTCTAATACTATTATCTAATATTAATACTCTAATTCTTGAGGAACCATAACACCAGGAAACATGTTATAAATGTAGTAAAGTAAGAACATATTCCTTAATCGTCACATTAAATAAAAGTACTGGTATGTCGATTAACCTATGTGCTACATAATATGTAGGAAAAAGTTTAATATGACAATGATATAAGGCCCCAGAAATTGGAACATGTTAAGCAAACGAAACCTCGATTTTGACTTTTAATCTCTGAGAGAATCGGCTAGCATTAAAAGTTTTTGCCGCCCTTCGCAAACGCTGGAAAGAAATACGATCAAATTCCACATAGCCACGAAAACGAAGGAGATGGTTATACCATTAAGCTTGTTAGCGTAAAAGAGATGACAGGATTCCTCCGAGACTGTTTTCGCTCGGCGAGGCAATATCCTTGAGACAATTTTTGAAATTGGAACATACTTCAGTTGATTAAACTTCTGCGATTGTCTGCCGATTCCATTCCATTGTTAAATGTCAATTTTGTATCAATTTTATAATCAAACAATTTTAAGGAATTTATTGATTTAATACTATGATTGAAGAAATTTTATGTAAGGAAAACTTATAAACATTTACATATATTTCAGACGTTTATAATCTTGATTCCAGGTTTGAATTTTAGTTTGACATCACTTCAAGAAAATGCCAATACATATTGCTTACCAAGTTGATCGTCACAATCAGTTCGTACTGCTGGTGCTTGTGGCCCTTCTTCTTTTTCCCCTGGGGCGTCTTGGCCCCCGCGGCGGCAGCTTGCTTTGGCGGCGCGGTTTTCACCGACCCCTTTTGCGCTGACGGCTTCACGGGGGTCTTTGGGCCACCCTTGGTCGATGCACCTGACAAAGAATGTAATTCCACAATATAACAGTTGTGCAAATGCTATTAATGCAACTCGCTTTCAGTAATTTCGGCAATTAAAGATGTTTGACAAAACGTACCTTTCTGGCATGGCGGGGTTGCTTTTTGACCGGCGGCATTCTTCTGGTTCACGTGACCCCCACCGTCGGCTGGTTTGTTCCGCGCCTGTGAACAATTTACGCTTTGTTATAGTTTTTGGGTACACCAGCAATTCTAAGATTTAACCCGATTTAAGTGAAATAAACTATAATATCTATGTATATTTTAACTAAATTTTAGCGTTAACTGATTTATCAGCGGATGGCACAAACCACTGGGAGCTATAAATTTTAATAGCTGAAACTTTATCGTTTGGTAAATCAGGAAAATTTTTAGGTGCTTTCGCGAGTACTATGATGGAATTTGGGTGGAACCACCTTTAAATTGAATGATACGTATTTTTTTTGAAGTAAAAAAAAAAACTTGTAAACCTTTCTGTGATGAAATTTTATATAAAAAAAACATTTAAAAAATGTGATGTACAAAAGCGAACGCCTCATAACACTCATTTAATTTTTAAGAAAATAAGATTATACCATTTTAATAACATCTTCTGAAGTCGAGTTACTTTCTAAAGAAAGAAAGAAATGAAAAATGAAATACATACATTTATTGTAAGTATAAATAGTGAACTTTCTTACAAAAAATCCTTTTATTATTAAAGAACGGGTACTAGGCTACTGATATTAAATAGGTAGCTAGTTGATGTTATTCTGAAGATATTAAACAAATAGGGTCTCATTACGTTCACTTTCTTGGGAATTATCGTGACCACCCCGTGAAAAAAGATTCGATGTCCATAAAGTCAAGTTTAGTTCAGTAAGTAGAATAGGTTACTTTTAGACATGTCTGAGTTTCTTGTACTTGACGACAAATGGAAGGAATTTAACGTTTTTCAGTTCCTAAAGAAATGTTCAGTGAACCAAATTTTTGGGATAATAATGCTGTCCGTGAGATCTTCTTTTTGTTTCAAGCCCGTTGCTAGAACTGGAATCTTGCCAAAAGCGTAAGCGTTCAAAATCAACAAGACAAGTTTTGTAGTCAAAGCGGCTACCGACAGGGATGTTTCACCCAACTTAGCTTTATTACGCTCAGGACAAAAGAACGTTTCCTCCGAATCTATTTTGACTTCTCCAGATTTTCTGTTGTTTAAATGATTTGCCAAAAATTACTAGTAGTTAGTATATTGCTATATTCATGATTTTGGTTCCTACATAGGAAACATAGAAAATATTTCATCACGTGGCCTGCCCTCGTTTCATTTTTCTATCCATTTCCTCTATTGTTGAAAACCTGCAATCACATTCCCAAGAATAAATTTAATTCGCAATCATAAGTATGGACGTGCCAGCCCATTTTTTCAGCAAGTTTAATTACTTCAGATTTAATGTTAAAATCAAAGACTATAAATTTTACATAAAAAGTATAATAGACCGCCTTCGCAACAACATGATTCGGTCAGCTTTTTTCGTACGTCGCTGAATTTTCAATGTATTAACAAATTAGTCAAAGATAAAAGTAGTATATGTATATTCATTTAGACATCATTATATTACATCCCTATCTTTTTTAATTTTCAAACGTAATTGGTGTGTCTTTCCAATTGTTTACCATAAACAAATTGTTACTTATACAACAGGGGCGGGAAATAAATTTGGAACAGTGCCAAATTTTTAAGCGTTTTCTCTAATTAAGTGCGCGTGGAGCCAAAAAAGTCTGTTGAGTGCGTCGATGCCTTTGCTATTCAAGAGGTATATATATTATTTTTGGAAAAGGTGGCAAACGAGCAGGACGTACACCTGATGATATTTGTTCACCGCCGCCCACGTACACTCACAACACCAGTGGAGTCACAAAATCGTTGCCTGCCTTTGAGGAAGGAATAGACTCTCTTCTTGAAAGTCTAACTCGTATCGGTCCGGAAATACCGCTGTCGACATCTTGGTTTAGCGTGACAGAAATTTACACGAAAAACGCACAGTCATGGACTGCCAATCATCGAGGTAGTAATGATGGTATTTGGCAGATTTACGCGTCTTACGGTGGCAAAATACAGCTGTGATAGATTCGATAAATACGCATAAAGATGAAACATTTCTTCGTAAGAACCGAGACGATCGGCAAGGACTTAATCGCCAAAGATTCGAAAAGCCCTACGATAGATGAAGTAAAATGGAAAGAACTGGTATTGGGGCGCCCCAGCCCAGAGATGAGAACATTACTTCATGTGCTGCCGAATATAGCGCTTTATATAGCTGCAAGTGATGGGATGGCAGGAAATACTGCCTCGCCCTACCCAGGGCATCAGGACTTTTGGAATCCAGTTTAGCTTTTTCAAGTGACTGTTGCTGATATGTCAACTCTAAGAATTACAAGTGTGTCTTGGCAACAAGGAATGTATCCTCAAAAACCGGCCAAGTGGGAGTCGGACTCGCGCACGAAGGATTCCGTACCATTATCTATAAAAACGGCAAAAAATAATTACATATTTTTTTTATAAAAAACTATAAAGCGATTTCAACCTTTTCTCTTGAAAATTTAGGCAATGGAGGTATATGTTGTTTGAGACGAAAAAGTAAAGTTATAATACATTATGTTTTCTAAATACAAATTAAGCATCTCAATGTAAAAAAAAGCAATCAACCTAACGATGACATAATCATTAATGTGACTATGACAATTCTGATTTTACTCAATAGTATATTCTCACATCCGGAGCGAGGTAAATAACAAAATAAAACTGAAGAATGTAATAAAACTCTTTCGTTGCTATAGCGGTAACAGAAATACGTCATCTGTGAAAATTTCTAATATCTAACTATCACGGTTTATGAGGTACAGCCTGGAGTCAGACGGATAAAAAGACAGACAGCGAAGTCTTAGTAAAAGGGTACCGTTTTACCTTTTGGGTACGGGTAGGTACCCTAAATGAGGAGATACGACGAAGTGTTTCTTCTTTGGGGTAAACGCGCAAACTTTTGTCTTCTTATGGTTAAATAGGACTAGATTTAGTCGGCCCCATTCCGAGATTTTGCCTTATAAAATCTCGACTTCAGACACAAGTTCATTTCGATAGTCATCGGTATATTCCTAAGAAATAGTTAATGAATGTTGTTAGTTTGGAACAAGTCATTGATATGCAGAAGAAAGAGATTAGGAGATAGTGCGCAGTCTTGTGGGACACCGGTTTGGCGTCATAGCATGCACCGTCAACAGAAACTTAATGCTACGATCCGTGAGAAAACTGGTGACCCAATTGCATTAATGCAATCAATGATCGCAGATCTAAGTAATATATAAATTTCAATTTTCAGGTATTTTGTTGACAAATAACAACAAAATCATCGTTAATGTCGTCCAATCTTCTAGAATAATTTCTGTTTTTATTATATCGTTTCATTCATTTTATATAATTCGGTTTGTTTCGGGTAAAATAACTGACATTATTCTAAATAGTTCATTTGTGTTCTAATCGCGAGCGGGTGCTTTTCTTAAATTTTGGGTCATAATAGCTTTTCTTGTTTATTCTTCTAGAATCTGATCCTAAACCAGATTCTTCTTTGTCGTCAATCACAGTCGTATTGAGTATATGATTTTTTTTATTTTATACTGGTCCTTATAAAATTCCGTAACAAATCCTTTGTTAGTCTTTTCCACTTTTATCCTTCATATTTGATGTCAGATTTGACTTTGATATCTTCTCTTTAAACGCTTTCCTTACTCCTTTTTGCGCATAGAATGTTACTTTTGGTATGAAACCAAAAAGCGAAGATGCAGTTATAGTTTTTTATGACGTTGCCCGACCGATTTGAACTAAATTTCAATTTCTAACGCGTTCCAAAATATCCAGTTCGTTTAGGAGCACGGTCCGCGAACATAGCGTCCGAAGCGCTATTTCGTGTCGAAATCGCCGCGTCTTAATTAATTTTCGAAATGGTGCGTCAATTTAATTCGTATATTTTCGTATGAATAACTTTTTACCTGAGAGACTAAGAACAGATTTTAAAAATTTAAATATATTTTTTCCAGAATAATCAAATCGACGATGAACAGATAACAAGTGAGTAATCTGATTTTATAACTCAAAACAACGTAATAAACCGTTTAAATTCATTTCTGCGTTATGCGGGTATTATTCTATAAATTTAATAAAAAAAATATTTATTTATTTTATAAATGTTATGAAATAAATGCAATAAAAATTACTTTATACACGCAGGTACAGAGTACCTAGGCAAAGTAATAACAAAAAGCAATTTCATACTAAACCATTTTTCTCGAAAAATTACGCAATGCAGTTCATTTATATATGTTGGTGGAGACGAAAAAGTAAAGTTATAAAACATTACCTTTTTTAATACAAATTAAGCATCAAACTAATGATGAAATAATCAAGAATTTGACTTATTACGATTCTGGCTTTACTCTATAGAAAATTGTTACATACCGAGCAAGGCAAAAAAACAAAATGAATAAATTACAAAAACACTGCGATGAATAATTTACGGTGAAAATTTTTAATCTTGATAGATCTTCTATATCACAGGTTTGCAACGACAAAAGGTATAAAATACCACCTGACATAGAATCATTCGCAGAACGCGTTTAAAGTGCAACTTTTTATAGCGAACGTACTATATGTATTTTACTGTGGTAAGGCCACACAATAGCCTTCGCCGTTGCACGAATGGGCAGGTCAGGCTGGGGAAGTACCACGACCTCACAGGAAGCCGGCGTGAATTATTGGAATTTTTACATTTCTGCGTTTCGTATGATGAGTGAGGTAAATGTCAATGGGCGGTGGTCATCAACTGCAGGCTAGCTTGCCACCTTCTCATATAAAAAAAATGTTAGCATATAGAAGTCACGTTTCTCTAAGCTCATAGTCACAAAACGCTTTATAGCGAAAGCGACGCGCACGTTATTGAAAAAAATCCAACTTTCCGTGGGTAGAAAAGCTACCCACGGTTACTAATCAGCCATCGATCGTCCCTAAATCAGAAGAAGACAGTCGGAAGACAATTGCTATTTCTAAAATGTGCGTTCGCGTTCCGAGGTCTCGAAATAAAGGGTGCAATTAAAAACACATGAACAGCGACGCCAACATTAATGGCACGGTAATGCAATAAAACGCCAGGTTACACTCGAAATAACGTAACATTTACTCTTTGTCTAGAAGTAAAACCGAAATAAATTCGTTGCAGATTATAATGGGTTGCAGAAATCTATTGATTCGCAGTTCGAAAGCGATTAGAAATAAATTCTGTTATCTCATTCTATTATCTGTCAAGGTTTATATACTGGCATGTGCCCTATTGCTATTTGTGCTAGATCATAAACATTGCATCAATTTTTAATTCAAAATTTAAGTTACGTTAGTGGACATGTTGTATACTCACTATACTATATCATAAAACTTTTGTTATTAATTACTTAATAATTCACATAGGTTCGTGACAACTCAGTGTCCAGGCGCTAACTTTTAATCATATATGAGCAACAAATTTTCATTATATTCTTAGTTCAAATTTAGCGAAATTATTAATTTCGATTTCAATTGAACTATTAATATTCTATATACAACGTGTCGTTACCATCGCGACAGTAAATGAACACACGTTTAACGCTACTTGCCAATAATCATAAAAAAATATTAACGTTAAAAAATCCATAATTAAAAAAAAATATTTTTCAAACAAACGAATTAAGTAAAAAAGAAACAAAATTTGTAACATCCTATACAACTAAAACTGACTGATTCATACATTCAGAGGCTTTTTCATTCGTTGCCACAGCGTCGCATTACAAGCCTCTCCTTCTTTGTGACCTTTACAAATGAACTTTACGTTATAGTTTTATACGTAAGGGTGTTCTAAAATTCTTTGTTTTGGAAAATTTTATAACTCGGTAAATATTGATGTTTAAAGAATGTAAATGTGTAATACAATTTTAAAAAATTGTCCTCTGTATGTGTGTTCATTTATTGTCGCGATTGTAAAGACACGCTGTATATATTGAAAATTATACTCAAAATATTTTGAGGAAACATGTTACAACATATTTTTAAAAACTATTTCGATGACAAAAATGTCTGCAGTGTGGCAGACTATGCCTTAAAGACCTACGTCTTGAGAATTCTTCTGCCTACAGTGTGGTATATGTTATAAAATTGGCTGCTACTTGCTTACTTATCTTAATTCAATATTTGTTATTATAATGTGATAAATAAAATTTTGACTTGAATCTGGGTCAATCTTAGCTTAAACTTTTAACAATAATGCTACAATAAAAAAATATCAATAGCTTCGTTTAGTTTGGTGTCATTAAAATTGTTTTGTAACTGAATGCAAATATTCCCTTAGTTTATGAACACTAATACAAAAATATACTACAACGGATCACCATTAAAAATTAAAAATATTATAAATAAAACATTTACGCCAAGAAGTTAAGTATTTTATTATGTGTGAATATTGTTAAGTAGTGTATACTGATTTGTACAATCAACATTTATGCAAGTTAATTCGCCGCGGAATGCAAATTAAACAGTAGGTCTGTTTTATTCAAAGGCTGCAAAATTATCAAATGTTACATTAGTCACGTTATTACAAAAATATATCTAAGTAAGTTTACTTATTTCCATTTTTTTTATGTCACAATGTTGAATGAAGTAGGCTGGGCCAAAATCTTATACTTATTTTTTTTAATGGTTTTAAATTTCACATATGGATGAAAAGTACTATAAATGTAAATGTAATTACAATAAGTCTTTGCTTTTTAATTTTAAAAATTGCTTATGGAATTTGCTTTATATGCTGTTGGTTTAACAGAGTTTCTCATGATAGGGCAGGGGACGAGAAAACGTGATTACATCACGCGAACCTTTGTTCTTAGTCGTACAGCCAACGGTCTGTGACAACCAGAATTCAATTTCATTAACTTACAATTTTTGCATGAGTTGCCGTACTATCCAAGGAGGGATTGGAAAAATTTGCATCATCATAATTGAAAAGTGTATGACAAAACTACGTCAACTTTAATTAATGTAGCATTATTAAATTCAAAAGCTCTCCTTCCTACAACTGTAATAATATTAATATCCAAAAAATTATGTATCCCCAAAAGGGGCACAAGATTTTCGTCTATACTAGCTCTAGCTACGCCTTAGCCCTAATCCAAATGTGAATGTTGATTCTGTTGTACTATCAGATCATTAAGAGAACACTGAAGTTTTAAAGTTAGCAATTTCAAGAAATGTACAGGGAATAACTATAAATTAGCTCAATATTCAGACATAGCAGGTCAATAGCCAGCCGGTTAAAAATTTACAGAATTAAGAAATAACTCTTGTCCTGCAAGAAATAACTGTTTTATTATTTCATTTAGTCCACCTAAATAGATTCAATTACTTAGGAAAAATTAGTATAAAACTTTGATAATAAGTAAATTGCGTAAGACATCACTAATTTTGATAATTTGAGACTGTATCAGTTGTGCAAATTGTGAATTTTTGTAGATAAATGAACAAAAACTTTCAGCGCTGCGAGATTCGAACCAGCGTGTTCTGGTTTCGTGCTTTTTTATATGTAATAAAATGATTCATTACCCTCGTTTGACAATATCCAGCGTTCTGTAAAATATAGCTAAACTTAAAAAAACTTTTATTTGAATTAAAGGATTGGTCCATAACAGGCAATAACTAGTTTTTAATATCAGAACTCAAATAAATAACGGAAAATCTATTTATCCGCAGTCATGCACACGCCATAAATTTTACGTCCTAAATATGAACTTACACGAGCCCCTTTTTAAGTCCCTTCTGGAGGCCTACTGTTTTATGTTTTTGTTTTGTTTTGTTTCGTTATATTTTTTTATGAAGGTTTTATCTTATAGTAATATTTTATATTAAATTGTGATAAATGTTTGTTGTTCTCTGTTTGTTTTATGATTGAAACGTTACCAGATTACCTATGTGTGGTAAAATAAAATACTTATTTATTTTATAAATAGCATCTCGTATTTATTCTTAGTTGTATATAAAAATAACTATTATGTATAAAAAGATAATTCATTGCGGATGCTATTATAATTCAACATTTTTTGTGAGGTTCTCGTCGGTGCGGAATGAAATAGGCTTGGTGAAGTTTGGATGGCATTAACACTTACTGTCTCTCCCCTTGTAATATGTGAGTGCTCGATATAACTATTTTTGATTTATATTACAAAAATATGAAATATACTTAAAAACAATACATACATACAGTCACATGGAATAGGTAAAACTGTCCACTAAAAACGTATGTATAGATCGATGGCATTTGAAAAGGCCAAGGTGTGTAAGGAGTATGAAATATAGAAATTCTGCCAGAAGCAGGCAGATCTAACACGGTCTCTTATCACAGATTAGATTAAGTTATTTTATGTCTAAGTTGTAAGAATTATAGGATTTCAAGCTGTTGGTGAAACACCAGCAGCTGTTCAAACTATGTTTTCATTATTTTCAATGTTCGTTTGTTAAAATGTGAGGCTTATCAAATTTAAATTAATGGTTGTAACGCTTAAGTCATAGTCTATATTCAACTACTCCCAAACCCTCTAAAACTTTCCTGTAACAATAGAGATCACCGCAGCAATTCATGATTTGCATCTTAATTGGAGATTTCGCTCCTTGCGATGTTTTCCACGGGCGAGATAGTATTTTTCAAACGTAAATTTAGTCATTCGTTTAACGACTAAGGCGGTGGGTTATTTTATCCGTGAAGTGAAAAATAACATATCCCACCGCTGGGCAAAGGCCTCTTCTGAACAGTCAACACGTGCATAGTCCACCACGCGACCCCACTGCGGATTCCGCCAATATTAAAATAAAATTGAAAGTCTATTCTTATATTTTTTCTGACATCTCACCAAACAAGCACATAATGAAAGACTTCGCTTTGTCTTTCTATCTAAAACTGCTGGTCCTTTGACATATTTTTTTTAATATTTATATATTAGAGTTAAGTAACAATGGGCAAATAAGTATAGTCAAACTATAGAAGTCACGGGCACAAATAGGGTAACAAACAAAAGACATCATTGTACAAGTTGATGTGAATCTCGATCTGAAGAAAGTCTTAAAACCAGAAAGAAAATTAAAAGGGAGCTTTCAATAGAAAACAGTTGGAAAGTAAACACGTTTGCTACAGATCAAGGATTTTGGCTATCGTATCGATCTTATGTACGGTCGCATTACACAAATGATTCAATTTTTAGAGGATTTTAAAAATAGTTAAGCTTTCAAGTATTTTTTAAAAAAAGTTAAAAATATATTCTACTTAGCCAGATCTATAACTGAATGTGTAGTCACATAATGTTTATAATACCAATTGCCGCAATAAGTAAAACGTGTTCACTATTTTTAATTGCAAAAATCATTCACTTTTGTTTCGGTGCACAACTTTGAGCGATAACCGACAGCGAGACATCGTTTGTGAATTTTCCAAACCTTATTATTAGGAGAAATCAAATACATATTTATGTACGACGTAAGCGTCTTCAAGGCAAGAGTGAATAGGTTTTTACTGAGCTAGCGCGCTTACCAACAACGGCTGCATCGCCGTAGTTGCCTTAGTTGGGACGGCAGTCAGTGCTGGCCAGTTTAGAATTTTAAAAAATCTATCATGGTGTCCTTTTGTAATCTTTGGCTATTCAGACAATGAGTATTTTTTTTTTTTTATGCGAAAAGTTGTAAAACGAGCAGACGGTTCACCTGATGTTAAGTGAATACCGCCGCCCATGGACATCTGCTACACTCGAGGGTTACAGATGCGTTGACAACCTTTTGAAAATTGGGCTCCGGCTACCTCACTCACCAGACGAAACGCGAAAGTATTTGTCATACTTCCACTTTACGCCGGTCTTCTGTGAGGTCGTGGTACTTACCCGGACGGGCCTGCCCATTCGTGCAACTGCCGAGGCTGCTGCGTGGCCCTACCACCGTAAAATATCGATATTTTCACCAACTAGGAATACGCGTGCAGAATTACGCATTCAATTGTTTGTTTTTAATTACATATATAATTAATTCATACGATGCAATTTAAACAATATACACCACTAATGGCTTTGAACCACCAGGAGAAGAGAGATAAAATTAAAATGAATTTTAAACGAAACTATACTTAATATTTCGTCCAGGGTCACGGGAGAGACCTAGTTAACTTATTTAATTAGCATTCGATACGCCAAATACATTTTCATTTTGGTTTGATCTACGCAGCATTTTTATTTCGTATTTATATATTTTATAAGTTATAGGATCCTAAGCTTAGAGCGTAATTTAAGTTCCAACATTAATTAGTTAATTATCCCATTAGATTAAGAAAATTAAAGCAGTATATCCTTATTTTTAATAACGGTACCGGTAAATATTTAACATGTGAATGCAAATTGCTCGAATAAGCTGGAAAGATTAACGTCTGGAATTCACAGAGCGTTACGGAGAAAAATTGTCACATGCCCACAATTCCTTGACTTTTCCGCCTGAAATGCGTCTATGAAATGCAAGTGATCTACTTTGCAGTGCTCCGGCGGGCGTTCAGCATGTTCGACTCCAGCAAGCAGGGCCGGATCGAGAAGGAGAAAGTGAGGACCATCCTGAACACGATGGTGCACAACTACGATGACAATGAACTGGACCAGTTCCTGGAGAACGAGGACGTTGACGGTGGGTTATGATAATGTTCTCAATAAGTGAGTATTCGTAGATTGATCTGAGAGATAGGTACGTCGATTTTAATCAAGAAATTATAAACAATTACCCCACCTGGCGGTAGCAGCTGCATGTAATATCCACACGAGCTCAGTAAAAGGTAACCGTCTAAAGCCTTGGCATCATTCTTAATACTGGATTGTTATTTTTGCTATATACGCTAAGACTCGGTTCGAATATATTTATTTGCCCATGTAAAACGGTTCTTTTACAACATACTCGGATGCTACAGATGTCTATCGAAGTGGTTCACCTGGTGTTAAGTGATTACAGCCGCACGTGGACATCTAACATACCTGATGGGTTGCAGATGCGTTGCCGACCTGATTAAAAATGGGCCCGATAACCTCACTAACAAGAACAAACGCGAAAGTCTAATACTGCTGTGGCACGAATGAGCCTGCCCGTTCATGCAACAGCAGAAGCTGCTGTGTGGCTCCAACAAATATGTATCTTTATTGCCCAAAATGGAATTAAAGAAAATTTTTAACACTTTGGGAAAAGTAAAAAGGAATCTAAAGTAAGAGCGGTGTGGTAACTGACACTGTCATTTTATAAACGATACAAGCATGCAGCGTTTAAACACCCGGGAATTTCGAAATTCTCGAAAGGTGTGACTGTTATGAGGAAGTACCTCGGCAACTGAACTTCGGAGTCATTAGTATTTACAATCACTGAATCATCGTATTTACGATGATCAGTTTAAAAATACACTTTAACCCGCTAAATAAATTTTACTAAACGAACTTATTACGTCATATTTACGACTCAGAATGTGGGAACGCTAAACGCACGAAGGAATTTCACGGACTTAACGTTAACCGGTAAAATACTGGATCAACGAGGGGCTGCACGACAAAAATAGCGTGTTTAGACCTGCAAGTGAAACGTTGCGAACGTTAACTGTCTTTACGAGTTGACGATTGCCCCGTGTTAAAAGACACACGCGCTTTGATGTTTTACAACGCAACAAGTACTCCCAGATGATTTCTTTGATGGTTTCATTATATGCGAGACGCACACACCGCATTGTGTTAGACCAAATTTTCTGAGAGTTACAAATTTATTTCGTCACGCTATGGCAATACAAAAAACTCCTAATAACATCTCAAGATGATTTTATCAATTTTTACATTTATGAAAACATTTGCACATTCTTAAATTGGAGTGGCATACTCCATCCTCCTTTATATCTCGATACAGATAAAAGGGAGAGTCGTTTTAAGAATATATTTTTGGGGTCGACTAAACTTAGTCCAATTAAACACCAATAAGACACAAGTTTGCGTGTTACAAAAATGTCCCCGATTGTTATGACTCCTCATTTTGAGAACACTCCCATATCTGCCACGGCTAGTATCGGAATACATGGCGTCAAAATCTCGAGCAATGTCCGGTTCCGCGGTCAGTTGGAAAGTAAGGCCAAATTGGACTCAAAGAAGTTCGGTGTGCTCAGCAAGACGAGACAGTACTTCACGTCGGCACAACGCCTAAACCTTTATAAGACGCAAATTCGGCCCCACATGGAGTACTGTCACCTCTGGGCGGGAGCCCCCTGTTATCAGTTTCTTCCATTTGACCGCATCCAACGTATGGCAGCTAGGGTTATCGACGATCAAAGTCTTTCCGATCGGCTTGATCCTTTGGCTGTGCGTAGAGATGTTGAGGCACTCTACATCTTCTACCGCATCTATCACGGTTATGATCCCAGCGGCTGAATTTCACCATCGGACATCGCGCCAAAACCAAAAATTTCATCCACACCACCTCGATGTCTAGCGTTCCACAACAGCGCGTTTTTCAAGGCATTTCCTGCCTCGCACAACCACTCTGTGATGATATTGTTAATAGCAATTTTAAATGCTTGATTTATCACTTGCTCATTGGTAAAGAAAAACACCCTAAAAAAACCAGGAACTTTCGAAATAACAATAAAATGAAAAATATTTCCCTGCTGAAAAAGAAGCGCAGAATTTCTTAAAAGTTCTTATCCTCTTGTACGTTCTTTTTTGAAAAATAACAACAAAGTGCTCTACGCCGACAGAAAATCATGTACAGATTAAGGTCACATTTAACTTTATGCATGAATCTTAATAAGTTTAATACAAAAAAATATATATTTTTTATTTTTTATATGAGTCGGTAAGCGTGCTGGCGGCTCACATGATATAAAGCGATTGCCGCTACCCATCCCATTCAAAATGTGAGTTCAGATTACACGACCCACCCGACGAAACACAAAAATATTCTGCGTAATATCTTAACATATGCATTTTGTAGATATTAATTTCCTGTTGCGTACATGGAAAGCCACAATTACTCTCCTAAATCGATCAATTTGTCGTTTAAACTTCGGGCATTAGTTTGAGATTTTACGTGCGAACAACTGCAAGCTCCGCAACTTTGCTTCAGCTCTCAGAATAGCGGTAGATAGAATATCGATTGAGGTTTCTACACATCCGTCAGACTTAAACAACTTTGTTACCGCTTTAAAATGATCTGACAACATTTAATTTATGCATTACGTATTTTTCTCGATATAGCATCCGAAACGGCTTCGATACGAATTGACCACACTTACTTTGTCGTCTACCATCTGACAATTTTAACCTATGCCTTGTGCAGCGCCATCTTTCTTAAAATGACGGAAACGTATTTGCAACTCCAATAGTTATTGTTAATAGAAAGGACTAAAGTACGTCGGACCCACCGTCGAAGGTCACGCCAAATAATACTACACACTCAATTAGTGCATCAACAAACACCATAGTTTGTCCTCGCCGAGCAGGGCGAAACCAACACAACGCGTACACTAGGTACACCCGCGTTCCAGGGCGGTTCTCACCGCCCCCAGACACCGACTAAACAAGCACAGTCAACGGCCATCGGGGTCACGGTCCTCACCGAACCTCGATGGCCCTTGGGCGACATGTCACAACTAATGCACGCATGAGTACATGCGCCGACCTACCCACTAAGGAGGGCCTCAAACCCGTCGGTTCCGGCTAACCCACCGATTCTGTGTTCGAGGAAGCTTTAATAGTCTAAAGACTAAAAGCGTAACATCAGTTATAAAAAAAAAAAAAAATGTTATTAAAACTAAATTTCATTTTACATCTTGATAAAGAAGTCTTTATATCCAATCCAATCCAGCCTATGTCAGGCCTTCCCAAGAGTACGCCACAGAGTACGATCTTCCGCTTTCCTCATCCAGCCACTACCAGCGACCTTTCTCAGATCATCGGTCCACCTGGCAGGGGGACGTCCGACACTACGTTTTCCGAGACGTGGTCTCCATTCGAGAACCCGTCTGCTCCAGCGCTCATTGGTTCTACGACAGATGTGGCCAGCCCACTGCCACTTCAGCTTGCTAAACTTACGGACTATATCGACAACTTTGGTCCTCTGGCGAAAAATTTCGTTTCGGATTTTATCCCTTAGCGAAATACCGAGCATAGATCTTTCCATAGCTCGCTGAGCGACATGTAATCGGTGGGCCATCCTCACCGTCATGTAGGACGGCAGGACGCACTGATTGTAGACCTTGCTTTTTAGGCATTGTGGTAGTGGTGAGTGGTAGTCTTTATATAATGGACCATTTTAGATCTATAATAAAATTATTTCATTTATTTAAATTATATATAACTGATTATATTCAAAAACTTCAGCTTTTAGTCACGTAAAAGTAATGATATAAATTAATAAGATATAACTAAGAGATAAAATGAGAGAATTATGTCGTTAAAGTGTAATAAGTTCGAGTTAATTGACTTTGGAAATATTTAGAGCTTATTTGAACGGAGCATTTAACCGAGTTTCATCCAAGTTATCGTTCAAAGAGATTGGGGAAGTCGTTAAGAGGGTACACAGTGTAATATATTTATATGTATATGGGATGATATTATCTGATCATTGTCTACTACTCGCTACTTGCTTATCTACATGGCTCTGGACGCAAGCTCACCACTTATTTTTTATTTTATTTTATTTTTTTGTTTTTTAAAAACATTGCCCTCACTTTAGGATAACATTATCCTGTGTGGTAAGGACGTTTTACAAACATAAATTACACGAGGACAAACACCCAGATGCGAAACAACTATCTGTGGGTCGCACAAATAGTTGTCCCGTGTGGGAATCGAACCCACGACCCCCGACACCGAAGCCAATAACTTGGCAACTGCGCCACGGAGTCATCAAGTAAACTTTAAACCCGAAAAAAGTAGGGGTTTCTGCTTACTCCGTACGAGATAATATGTTATAGCTGGTATTGTCCTGATTGAATTTGTCTTCGCAGCCTTTTCGTTAGCACATCTTCTAACACTGAACAATTTAGTAGTGTTGTTGTTGTCGACTTTTGTGTGTATAATTCATTCGCCACATGTCACATTACTGTGAAATTGATTTTGGAAAAAGTTTCTATAGCTATTTTTCTCCGCTGCTAAGATAAAAGGAAACGGCAGCTGTTTTCTTTCTAGTTCTTGTACTTCTTTAATTACAATGAAAGGTAGATAGACTCTACAGCTCATAACTTAATTTACACTTAGCTCAAATCTGAGAATGTGAAAATCAATAAATTTGTAACAAGCTGTTATTTTATTTATTTTAGAACTTTTTGCTCAATAGCATTTTTTTTGTGAAAAGTTGCTAAACGAGCAGACGGTTCACCTGATGGTAAGTGAATACCACCGCCCATGGACATCTGCTACACCCGAGGGACAGATGCGTTGATAACCTTTTGAAAATAGCGCTCCGGCTACCTCACTCAACAGACGAAACGCGAATTTGTCATACTTCCACTTTACGCTGGTCTTCTGTGAGGTCATGGTACTTACCCGGACGGGCCTGCCCATTCGTGCAACAGCTGAGGCTGCTGCGTGGCCCTACCACCGTAAAACTGACAAATAAACAAATTCTTTCTGTTAGAGTTAATTTCGACTCCGCACGGAAGCATT